GCCTGTGGCTGCTCTGGGGGCAGAAGGGGGTGCTGAGCTGCTCTCCCTTCCCCTGCCTCCTTCCCCTTGGCCATGGCAGGGCCTCCCGAGGGTCTGTGTGGAGGGGCTGTCCCATTTGTCCCTGTCCCCTCTCGCTGTCTGCTGTCCTGCGCTGTCATCCCACCAGAGGGCGCTGCGCCCCCACGGTGGAGACCAGTGACACCAGCGATACTGACGCGATGGGGACAAACACAGGGACCTGTTTAGTCCCATATCCCTGCTCCCTTCTGGCAGCACGGATGGAGCAGGACCGTGGCCCCAGCAGAAGGTGCTGCCTCTCCTGTGACACGGCCACCAGCTGTGGGCAGAGCCCTTCCCTGCACCCCTGTCAGGGGTGACAAGTATTATGTCTCCTGTCCCTGCTCCCTGGGGAGAGCTGTGGGGCTTTTTCTCCCGCTGTGCTGGCACGCTGGTCACGGGGCAGACAGTCACTGCAGAGGAGTGGGTGCAGCCTGCCTCTGATGGAGACCTTGCCTGCAAGATCTCTATCATTTCCTACTCTCATATTTTTTTCTGACAGAAGCTTTTCCAGGTGACTACTCTGGTGATGCCGCCTGCGTAACAGCTGAGCTCTTTGCTGGTAAATGATGGCAAATCAGTCAAAGCTGAGGCTGGCTCCGGGTGGAGGCTTCCCAGTGCTGCCAAGGGTCATGGCCTGCGTGTTGTCTCATGCCCTGCTCTTGTGGGGGCAGAAGGCTGTGACCCACCAAAACCAGCCCATGTACCCCAGGGGTATGCCCAATCATTCTGTGAGGGGAGTCCCAGAATCAGGGGGAAGGGGCAGAAGCCCCTTGCCATGTCTGTGGGGCAGTAGCCCACCAGCACCCATCCCTTTTGCCTTGTTCCCAACCCTGGAGAGGTACCTCCAAGGTGGATGGGGTGTGTGGAGGCAGCTGCACTGCACAGGTCTCTCGGAGCTGCAGGTGGCCTCTCCCTTCATCTGTGGCCTTGCTGGGGCCCTGTGGCCTCCCCTAGTGTGATGAGCTGCCAGGTCTCAGCCCAGAGGGGGCTGAAGGGGCGAGGGAGCTGCTGTGGGACCCCAGGGGAGCAGTGACTGAGAAGAAGCCAGAGCAATGTACAAATCCTTTTATTATATTATTTTGTCAAAGACTAGTTCGAGCAGGATGGTCACAGCATGTCTGTGGGGCCCCGAGCTGCCCACCGCCTCCCGAGGAGGGCCCTCGTGAGCAACTGGGGGCTGTGGCGGAGGAAGCATGGGGAGAGCGGAGCACGGTGCAGCAAGGGCTGGGCTGGGCTGAGGGTGTTCCCGACATCCCCCTGTTGGGGTGCAGGCAGTGGATCCTGGGACATACCCAGGATGCTTGCCCAGGGATCCCTTCTCAGGCCCGGGGACCCGTGTGTCCAGCGTTGGGTTGGGGGCAGCCGGGCTTTTGTGGTCCAGCAGCCCTCGGCCCTGCACTGGAGCAGCCCTCGGCCCTGCACTGGCTTTATTGCAGGGGACAGAGTGGGGGCCCCTGGCAGCGCAGTGGGGGGCTCTCGGCTCAGCACTGCAGGTGGCCCAGGGGACGGCAGGGACTCGGGGTGGGAGTGTGAGCAGCGGACACGAGGACGCATGGAGCGACGGGGCGCACCCTGGCACAGAGACACCAACGCGAGAACAGGGGCCAGCAGGGACGAGACACGGA